GAATTTATAATGCTCTTAACAATATACGATTTTGAGTACGAATTATTAAAGAATTTTGAATTGGATTGTCCAATTGAAGTTTAAGGGTTATAGTAACTAACTAGTAAAAATTTAAATAATTGTGTATGTTGGCTAGGAATCCGAAAGTAGTAATTGTTCTGATTAAATTGATTCTTATTAAAGGAATAAACCATTAAATGTAAATGGGAAGTTTTGAAATGAAACTTATCATCATGAAATGAGTTTTGATTTAGGGTTTTAATCGTTTAGAAATTATTGTAAGGTATTTATAAGAATAAGTTAGTAATACCTATATTAATAAACAAATAATTATTTTGATTTTGCATAAGCAATATTGTTAAGAGCATTATAAATTCCCTTCATATTTTCTTTGTAAAATTAAATTAAAATGTCACTATACTCGAAGGCAATTAAAGTTATGCAATAAAGTTCCAAAGTTAATTCACTTCATAGTCATTCATCATTTATAAAGTCAAAAAGTTTTACTAGTCAAGATCACTCAAGTTTTTATGCAATAAAAGTCATTGTCAATTCACTTCTTATCATTAAGAATCATTGTTAAAAGTCAGGAAACAATAATAATCACTTACATTTAAATTGTCATACGATAAAAATACTTAATTAATTACTCAAAACTTTCTAGAGCTCGCACATAATATTGAACGCCTTTAAATGTTCTTTCTTCCACAATTTTCCGTACTTTTTCTAAGTTAAATTAAACCCGATGCAAAAATAAAAGAAACTCTTCGCGAAATTTTCCGGGACGGTAGACCTTAACTCAAACTGGACTGAACTAACAAATCAACTGACAACTGATTTCCACTTCTAAAACCGCCTGTTTTAAAATTTTCGATTCCCCCCCAAAGTATTATTAATTATCCATCAAAATCGGCAATAGGCGGTCGTTTGACCATCTATAAGTAAATTCTATTGGTCGACCTAAATATTATTCCAAAAACTAATTTCATCATTTTCTCGGAGGATGATGGAATCTCCTTTGTTATTTGTTTAAAATCGAATAATTATGTCGCAATTTCCTGATTTATCGGTGCAAAAAATTTTTGGTTCAAGAATGCCATAAATCATTGATTTAATTACTATGGCCTCGCTTAAAAAAAGTTCATTGATTTGATTGAGTTAGGAGATGAAATCACACTTGGTGACTAGATGATAGAATTTTTAACGTATATAAATATCTTAATTTAATTTGGGGTCAACGCTAATTTGTTTCATTTTCAATTTATCGATACTGATTTGAAATACCGGGAATTCAGTTTTTGATTATTTGATTACATTTAATTTTTACAGTAAAGATATTGTAAATATCGTATCTATTTTTCCGGATTATTACACCGTTCTAGAATGGTTCTCATGTCTGTTGGAACAGAGCTATAGAATAAGGTGATGATTTATCAATTATCAATAAAAAGTAAATATATATGTATATTTTATTTGTTGGTGGAGGCACAGTTAGGGGCTGAAGCCTGGTTGAAGTCCCTCTTAATAAGGACAAGACTCAAAAACTGGTACCGTAAGGTGGGGGTACTTGCAACAGTGTCACAACAATATTCATCGGGTGGAATTTTTGCTTTCCCCCTCCTCTCGCTTGAGTCGCGAGTCAACCGCTAACGTGTTACCGTTTAATACGGATCAGTAGGTTGAAATGTGAGTAGGTTTTGGCGTTGAAAAATTTTAAACACGAAAAATTTGGCGCCATTTTCTGACAGCTCTGGTAAGTGCTCTAAATTGTTGCAATATAACTTCTCCTGTGCAGAGCTTATTTACCCTAGGATTTGTATCAAATTTGGATATGATGTGCTTGAATGCTTAGTCTAAAACATTGAATATCTAGTTTTGAGTTAAGTTTGAAGGTTTTCGTAAATAGATTTTTTTTTTAAATTGCATGTACAAAAGTGGGTAACTTGCAACATGCCTCGCAAATACAAAAAATAGTTAGGGAGTAGGACCTACCGTAATTATTCCAATGAAACTTTGGAAAATGCATTAAGGGCCATCGAAAACGAATCAGGGATTCGGGAAGCATCGCGAGAATTCGGGATTGACCCATCAACGCTTTCTCGGAAAAGAAGAAACTTGTTTCCCCTTGATCCTGGTAGGCAGCCTGTATTTCCAAAGGAAGAGGAGGAAAAATTGACCAAAATTGGCCAAAATTAGCCAAATTTTTTTTTTTCTAATATTTTGTGTTGCAAGTAAGTTAACACGCGTTCCTAAATACAATTACTACTGGAAAAAGCCACTTGTTGCAAGTATCCCCGTGCAGGTGTTCAACTGGCAACACCCAGTTTTTTTTTTAAATATATATCAAATAATAATGTTGTTCAAAGTTTTTTGTTAGAATCGGATACTAGACCACAAGACAAGACTAAAATTTTGGCACCAATTAGGTCAAATTCAACAAAAAAATAAAGAAGGTATCGGCAAAAGAATTTTGAAAATGTTGCAACTAACCCCACCTTACAGTACCTATTCTTTTTGAGGAACTTTTTTGACCAGAGCAATCCGTGAAGTGCCTTGACCCCAAATTAAAATGGGACAAACACATTGAATGAGTAGAAGCTCTGTATTTCTGCTGCAAAACCTAGACTCTAGAGCTGTTTAACTCGTCAAATCATCTTATGGCGTGTCCGTGATAGCTTGGGGTGGGGCGGCGTGTGTAGTAGAATATTTAGTCTACAACGAAAGATAATCAGAATACTCGCTGGTTTTTAGAGATGAATGCAGGAATGCTTTTTGTAAACTTGATATCCTCACATTGCCTGCACAATACATATTTGACAGCATTTCATAATTTTATACATAGGTTAATATAATAAGGATAATGGTACTGCCCACTGAGATATGAATCGATAGGTACCTCTCGCGTGGAACAGAAAATCTCTTGGCGTCCTATAATAAGTAGACTTAGGGAAGGTGTCAAAATAGATCACAATTTGCCGCTGTGAAAATGTTCAACATAATATTCCTTAACATTCGATGCCTATGTCTTTAATTTCCTATATGTAATTCTAATTGTGTATATCTTTTATTTCTTTCAATATGTATATTTACAGTCTTAAATATTTATGCCAAAGGTTACCAATATAACCATTAGGATTAGTGCCGGTTGATTTACCTTCTGATAAATTATCATGTATGATTGTATGCCATTTGACTGACAAAAACGTATGTAATCCTGTTATCCCATTGGTCGACAAGTTATCCGCCGACCAATAGAATTAAGACGGTGCATTTTTCATGCAAATAGTTACCAGAAAGCTTATCTGAAGATGAATAAACCGGGCATAAGTATGTAGTTACGAATTATCTATAATATGTGTTATGTTATAGAGAATAGAATTCTTTTTACAATAATGTATCTGTTTATATCCTGTATATACCTACCTACATTATGCAGTGTTATTTGTTATTTTGTCTGAGTGAATTTTATTTTTTCATACTAGATAAGATATTGTTATTGCATTTTATTGAATCTTCAACCTAACAACGATTGATAAAAGAACTTAAAATAAATTGAAATCTAAAATTTTTAGCACGATTTTTTGTAAGCAATCAAAATCTAGTAATATTCTGGTATTGGCGGGATTAGGAAAAATCTAGTAATATTCTGGTATTCCAAGTTTTATAATCTGGTAAAATGGCCATTCATATAGTTGGCAACACTGCAGGGCGAAACTTGATAGGTATCAAAGATAAGACCGCGAAGTAGCTGTGCACTAACCACTGCGCCTGGGATATTTCACTTCCGCTTTCACATTTCCATCCCATTTCCCGAGATTATTACCCTCATACCGCCGTAATAGCTATTTATATAAAAAGTACATAAAGTGAGGCTTTATTGTACGAATTATTTTATTGCCGAGCGAGCTTGCGAACGAGACTATTAATAATAAGTCAATTAAAGCGTGTAAGCTTTATACAGGGTGTCCCAAAAATATACCGACAAACTTTAAAGGGTAGTAAGGGACATCAAAACAAGCATTTTTGTTTATACAGGGTGTCCAAAATACCATGGGCCACCATTGGTATATCAGAAACGGTAAGAGATACGAGGGCAGTTAAATTAGAAAAAAGTTGCCATTTTCAAAGGGTATTTAAAATATATTTTCGTTGATGCCAAATTTTTATTAGTTTCCGAGATACAGGGTGTATCTGTATCTCGGAAACTAATAGAAATTTGAAAACAACGAAAATATATTTTAAATACCCTTCGAAAATAGCAACTTTTTTCTAATTTAACTGCCCTCGTATCTCTTACCGTTTCTGATATACCAATGGTGGCCCATGGTATTTTGGACACCCTGTATAAACATATGTCCACAAATGAGCCATTTGGGCTGTATATACCCTATACCTAAGTTCAAGTTTTTTGGAAATATTGACAGTTGAAAATTGACTTTTTGCATCTTTGACAGGCTGTAAAACCTGAATGGTTAATTTTAGAGGAAAACCGATTTTACATTTCCATCTTAGAATTCCATAAACTATCATTTGACACCAACTTTGAAATAAATACATGATTAAAAATTCCAGTTAAATTTAATCTCCGGGGAAGTTCACAGTTGGTGTCAAATGATAGTTTATGAAAACCTAAGATAGGGATGTAAAATCGATTTTCCTCTAAAATTAACCGTTTAGGTTCTACAGCCTGTCAAAGTTGCAAAAAATCAATTTTCAACTGTCAATATTTCCAAAACAGTTGAACTTAGGTATAGGGAATACCACATAAAATCTGCTCAGAATTTTATGTAGAATCCAAATATGCAATCACATACAGGGTGTTCTATTTAAAATAGCGATGTTGCCACTAGTTTAGAGTAGAAGCGGCAACACCGCATAAACAAAAATATTTTTAAAGTGTAGATTATGGTCGTTTATCCCGGTTGCCAAATTTTCAAAATGATCCGCTTTTTAGTTTTCCATTAACGTCTTATACGCCATCCACCGTGGGACACCCTGTAGATAGGATAAATACTAATGGGGGAAATAAAGTTTTCTAAACAAAATCACCAGATAAATAAGATGTTTTAAAAATTTTAATCAAAAAAAAATATAATATATATAATTTCATTTAAAAGGCATTATTAAAAGCGCAATATCCGTGTCGTGTGAATAAAAAGCTAAAAATTTTATAGGTGTTAAATAAAAATAAATTGAAGTAAATTTTAGTGAAATTCAGCAAAGTTAATTTACAGCTCCTCATTCAAATCGTAATCTTCTTCAGGAAAATCTCCAATGAATACACAATTAGGTTTAACAAGGCCTCCATATTTATCAGTACACTCAAAATATCTCTTGCCTTTTACCCTGAAATTCATATTGGTATTATAAATAGGTATTTGGGATAATAGAAACACACTTACGTTCCATCATGCTTTCCCACTGGTTCATCATACTTGATTCCTATCCAAGAACCTTGCAAACCGTCAACACTCCCAGTATACATAACAGTACCTAAACGGGTTGGAGCGTTTGTAACTGTCACTTTACATCTGGAACCGATTTTGATGCTTTCAGCCAAAGCTTTTTCCTCTGCTTCTTGTTGTTCTTTGTTTTTCATAAATTCCTGATTATATTTTCCTATGAATCATTGTAAAAAAACTGAGAGCTATGAAAACGAAGTGGCTATTTATACGTCCGACGTATACGAGTTTCGGTATACATCTTGTACTCCTATTGGCTAGTTGAGTCACGTGACTTTTTCGGACGTATACCGATATAAGTATATATCCGACATACGAAGCGACGATGTATACTAGTTTCGATATACGTCCGACCTATACGAGTTTCGGTATACGTCCTACGTATACAAGTTTTGGTATACGTCCGACGTATATGAGCACTTTTTCCAGGAATTTTGGCTCAACTCGGGATATTCTTCATAATATTCGTAAATTGAAAAAAATTGAATCATGATTTGGGCACGTGTGGTATTCGCAGTATAATTTCACCAGAGTTTATTTGAAATGTGCAATTCAAATTCGTCCCAGTAAAAGTCACAATTATTGCCAGTCAGGTACCCACCAAGATACAAACTTCCAGAAATTTTTCTGATTATCATGGAAACGTTTCAGAATAAGCGCCTTTGGTTTAAAATACAGATTTGAAATTTTCAATTATAACGAGTGCAATGGAAATTAGTTGAAAAAGAGCCCGAGAGCACGAGTGCCTTTTTCAGTTAAAAGCGCATGAGTGCAAATTTCCCAAAAATTATCAATAATTTCCATTGCACTCTTTATACTATTGCTATTGAACATTTCAAACCTGTATTTCAAATCAAAGGCGCTTATTTTGGAATGTTTCCATGAAAATCAGAAAAATTTCTGGAAGTGTGTCTAAAAATTGGGACTTACTGAAACGAATTTGAATTGCACATTTCAAATAAACTCCGGTGAAATTATACTGTGGACACCACACGTGCCTAAATCATGATACTTACAGGATTTTTTTTCGAATTCACGAATATTATGAAAATTATCCCGAGTACCAGACGTATACTGAAACTTATATAAAGTCGGTTTTTTTTTCTAGATAATTCCCCAAGTCAAAAATTTAGTAACTATGTTGGTAACACAAGCCTTTTCTCTTTGAATATAAAACTACAGGAAGGAGCGTTTTCTATCTGTCACTACAGACAACGCAGGGACGGAAACGGTCATATTGAGCCTCAAAGTATGGACTCGTTATTTGTTTTGGTGGTTTGCTGTGTCCTCATTCAAGTGGATGTTTAATGGATTTTAGCGGTTTTAAGTGATAATAAGCACTGGAATTAATGTGAAAAGAGTGAGTCATAAAATTGACAATCATATTTAAATAAATATACGCCACTGCCAAATCGGAAATACTAGTCGGCCATATGCAACCTCCACATATTTTGGTCGCACAGATTCGAAGTTATGCTCCTTCCTGTAATTTTATATTCAAAGCCTTTTCTACATAAAAATTTGAAAGCATTGACAATTTTACATTGTATTGCCAACATAATGTCATTTTGACTTTTATCTTTAAAAAAAAAACAGATTTTACGTCGGACGTATACCAAAACTCGTATACGTCAGATGTATACTAACTAGGACATATACCGAAACTAGTATACGTCGTATAAATAGCCACTTCGTATGTCGGACGTATACTTATATCAGTATGCGTCCGAAAAAGTCATCTGACTCAACTAGCCAATAAGAATACAAGACGTATACCGAAAATCGTATATGTCGGACATATAAATAGCCACTTCGATATGAAAATTAGTTACCCATTTTGTTTTTCATCAAAAAACTCTTGACAGAATCTCCCCTTTTGGCATACTCTTCAGCAGATAATTCGTATTTTGGTACATTTTCAGAATCGAACTCATTTCTTAATTGAAAGTCATCAATTATGTGCAGTCGCATGCCATCGTCCACAGGGTAGAAACCAAGAAGTTGATTATTATCACTCAGGGATGTTACAAGTTTGTTGTCTTTAGTATAGGCTTCGATTCTCATGGTGTTACAATTACCCCCTGTAACTAACTCTAATTTTGCCTGAAATATAAGGGTGCGAAATAGGTTTTACAATCAGAGAATGGGTTGGGGATACATAAAACAAGATTTAAACGCAACAGACTACAGAGTTTGGTGAAAATTGTGTATGTAGATTATGATTATACAGGGTGTCCATTTAGTGCGATATCGGACGATATCTCCTTACAGGGTGATGCAAGAAAAAAAAATTAAATCACAAAGTTTTTTGATACTCAAATATGCATTAGCCTCGGCATTAGCTAAAAATATTTTTGAACATACAGGTTGCTCCATTTATGGGCTATGCGACAGAACTTTGTTATTTTTAATAGAACACCCTGTACGTGGTATTTGGATTCTACGTAAAATTCTGAGCAGATTTCATGTAATATAAGCTATTTTCGCGAGTATTTTCAGGTTCGAAAAAAGGACGGTTCTAGAACGGTTCAAAACAATCGCACAGTTCATCAATCAACAAAATGACAACAGCTCAGCTATCACAAATTTCAATAATAAACTGTGCGATTGTTTTGAACAGTTCTAGAACCGTCCTTTTTTCGAACCCGAAAATAGCTAACCCCTATATCTAAGTTCAACTGTTTTGAAGATATTGACAGTTGTAAATTGACTTTTTGCAACTTTGACAGGCTGTAGAACCTAAACAATTAATTTTAGAGGAAAACCAATTTTACATTCCTATCTTAGATTTTCATAAACTATCATCTGACACCAACTTTGAATTTAACCAGAGATTAAATTTAACTGGAATTTTTAATCATGGATTAAATTCAAAATTGGTGTCAAATGATAGTTTACAAAAATCTAAGACAGGAATGTAAAATCGGTTTTTGTCTAAAATTAACAGTTTAGGTTTTACAGCCTGTCAAATTTGGAAAAAGTCAATTTTCAACTGTCAATATTTCCAAAACAGTTGAACTTAGTTAGGTATAGGGTATATTACATGAAATCTGTTCAGAATTTCACGTAGAATCTAAATATGCAACCACATAGGGCGTTCCATTTATTAAAACAAAATTTTGTTTCATACCTCATAAACGTAGCACCCTGTATATTCAAAAATATTTTTAACTAATGCATATTAGAGTATCAAACTGAAACAACTTTGTAATTTAATTTTTTTTCTTGTGTCACCCTGTAAAGAGATATCGTCCGATATCGCATTAGGTAGACACCCTGTTCCTGTATATTATGACAAATGAGTTTAGAATTGCATATCTGCGCTGCATGAAAAACCAAAGACTAATAATTTTATTCTAGGGTAATAACCTTGGTTTCCACCAGGGGTGTGTAGTACATAAACGAACTAGTACAATTGTACTGATCCTTTAAATGTACTATATCTACTAGTACCACAACATTTAGAGTCCCATAATATTATAGTATATTTTTTTCATCGTAATACATAAAAAAAATTATAATAAACAAGTTTAAAACAGATTTAAAACAAAAATCTATGAGCACGGAATGTGAAGAAACCTATCTAATTGGCAGCTTCAACCATAAGCACAAACGGAACACAGTTTTTATAACCGGATAACCAAAAACACAAAAGTGTAACGTAATATCAGGAAATCAAGGCTGTATTTTTTTAGTTCCTATATGCAAAATAGTATACCCATGTTACTTTTAGCAAATAATTCATTCATTTTATTTTTGTTGAACACTAAATAAAGTTTTTATATGTATTTTTTGTATTTTTCTCCCTTGTTTCCCTTTTTCGTAGATGTACTAAAGAATGTACTAAAGAATTAGTACATTGTACAAGTACATTGTGAAGATTCAGTACTACTGAACTAGTTCATTAAAAAGTACTAAAAATCGCATCCCTAGTTTCCACCAACTATTTCAGGGGAGCCTTAATGATAAGTATTCCTTAAACTGACATTTCTCCATGTAAAAATGGCATTTTAGGGAATACTTATCGTTAAGAGTCCCCTAAAATAGTTGGTGGAAACGGGCCATAAAATACCAAATATAAATAGTTATATTGTTGTCTCACCTTAAGATCCCCTATGGTTATGTCCTTTGGAAATCGCTTCTCATTAAAAGATATATCATTTTTCGACGTGGATATTTGTAGGTTCACAAAGTCTGACGTTATAACTTTCATATCACCCATATTTGTAGTTTAAATTTCTAGAAATTGCAAAAAACCGGAGGAAAAAAGAATTTTGAGTTTTTTTTTGACTTTTCGTTTGTTATTGTTTTGTCCGTATCGAAGTGGAAGGGGCGAAAGTTGGAAAAGAAATGACAGATGACGGAAATGTCACGAAATGTGAAATGATGGGCGGTTCAGATCATCACGACACACCGGAGTACGATGCTTTTGGACTGAGCTCCATTTATTCACTCCACTCTGAAAGCGGAGTCACTCGCTTGGAGTCGCTCTATATGTTCTAGTTACTCTAAAAATACCCGAATCGCCAATGACTGGACCGGCCCTAGCCATATTCTCTAACGTTGATTATTTGTAGCCAACATTAGAAAGAGAGGTCCGAGAGAGATGGAGCTATTTGAGACAAATACCTTCATTTTTAGCCGCTTTCCAGCGGTGTGCTTCAAGCACGGTGCAGCACAGTGTTCTGTGTTTGAAACGCAAAAGTTAGCTACTCTCGAAGCGCAGTACGGCTGGAACACGAACATGCGCTTGAAGCATTTGCGCGCGCAAAAGTTCGATTGCGTGCTCAAAAGCGTCATCTAGAAAGCGGCTTTTATCTTAGCCGCTTTCCAGTCCTAAATTGATAGAGTATCATGCTCCTGAAGTGTGACGCTCTTGAACTGTTCGACATAAGCAGCACTGGAACGCTCTCGTCTTAACCCCCACCATTTCGGATTTCAGGAGCATGAAACACAGACAAAAGGGTTGGTGCACGAGGGGGCAGGGGATAACAGAAATGAGTAGCTCAAGTGTACGACACTCTAAGCACTGGAACCTGGAACGCGCAAAGCAATTGTGGAGCACTCCTGAGCTGCAGGAGTAACTCAAATGGGTCACTGGAATGCACCTCTTAGGGCCGTAATAGGTTGTCTGTTGTCTTGTCATTCTGCCATCTTATTTTGCAATAACCCTTTTCACGTGGTTCCGGTTTTTACAAACCGCAACATACCGCTCAAATTCGAGTGGTAGGTATCCATCACGTTACTTTGTAACCGGGTTAGAAAACGGTATGTCAGTTCTCTAACCGTTTTGTAACCCGGTTAGTTGAACCGGAGCCACGTGAAAAGAGTTAATGCAATTATGCAGCGCAGGGGGTAACCAAATTGATATTTTATTGGCCTTTTAAGGCGAGTTTAAACAATTTCATAACTTTAATTTAGTGCGTAATTCACAATTTAGTGCATACGCTTTAAAGTTAAATTTATTAATTTTTATGAAAGCGTTTATACATCTATTTGATGCTCAATTCATAATAGGGAACTTGCACATTTTTTTTTTATTTCAAAAATGTGTTGTACTACACTAAAGACATAGTCATGCCGAATATCAAGCATTAAAAATCAGCCGTTAATTTTTTATAAATATTTGAAGTTACGCTCGAAACATCGCCATTTGAAACGACCGATTAGTGTGACGTCACTCAGCAACAAAATTCCGTTCACAGTCTTTGGTTGACAGTGACCTGCGAGCAGGTAGATTTACCGTGTGTTCGGTATTTTCCTCTGGGTTCTCCGAGCTTGAATTTACGGTTCGTTTATTTAAAAAGTGTACTCGGTGCAGGCTCATTCGCGTTCGTTTTTTAAAATTTCGGGCACTCTCATACAGCCTTCAACTGCTCTGTTCTCTCGCTGGTCACGTGAATACGGCTCCGCTCAGCACGCTCTGCTCTTTGAGCAAAATAACGAACGCAAGGTTAGATTATGGTTATGTTGTTATAGGAGTTTTCGAGCGCTTGACCGGTAAATACCATTTACTGTCGGTATTTCTGTGGTTTTGCCCAATGACATCATATTACGTTCCACTATGGACCGATCCTTGGTGGCGATTTATTGGGTACATTCAGGCGGTGCCAGCGGCTAAGCTCAGCCACTCAGCAAAACTTTATTCTCGACACCAAGGAACAGCGTTCTTGTGAAAACGCTACTACCCTGTTTATTATTAGGGGAGTAGCGTTCTCATGAGAAATTGTTTTTTGGGGAGATAATAACGAGTTTTAAGACAAATTATAGAGCTTGCGATTTTTTGGCCCACATGGTAGCATAACTATGTTACCCATTGGCAGTCAAGGTGTGAAAGGTCTTGCTATGGATTAATCAAATCAATCAAATATTAATTAAAAATCGGTTTGAAGGTGCAAAAAAAAAAACGGCTCATCAGAACTGGCTCAAATTTTGCATAAACATGCTTTGATCGATTATCTCAAGATTTATGGAGTTATATTTCTCAATTTTTAGCAACTAATCCATAACAAGACCTTTCTCCAAAGATAGGCAACCAAAAACACACCGGGGTGCTACTGCCACCTTAAGGAAATTAGGCCGGCATACACACACGTTATTTCGCGCGGTTTATCGTGTCATCTGCAAAAACCTGTGAAAAATCATGTGCGTGAGTTAGGAGGGCTGCGCGCAGTGATAGAATGGGAAGGGATTTCAGACGTGCTTTCATCTGGAATGTTGCGTCAGTACTCAAGTATATGATAGTGCAGTTCACAACCGTGTCCACACGCCATTCCACGTCACGGTTTTGAGGCTAGTACGGAGACATAAACGCCGTGTAGTGAACTATCACGTTGAAAATTAGTACATGACAACATGCACTTCCAAACGACACGATAAATGACACTTTTTACCCATACACATACGGTTTTTCCTTTCCAACTGATATGCCGTGCGTAATCACGTGCTAAATCATTTGAATACTTTGTCAAGTGTATGGAACATGAAGCTTTTTTTGCCACGCCGTTCTTTCGCGCGTGCAAACCCCTACATCCCAATACGCCACGATAAACCGCGCGAAATAACGTGTGTGTATGCCGACCTATTTGCTAAGATTGCGAGTGATTGTGAGCGATTGTGACTAGTCACGATTGTTAGTGATTGTGACTGATTGTTAATGGTTGTGTAAAGCATATGTATAATAATTGGGTTAAAATTGAACAACAAAACAAAAACGGCGCGAATTTTGAATATTGCCTAACAACGATTTCAGGATTTCAACAAATTGTATGTGATTTGTGATGATTTTAAGTGATTTACAAAGATTTTCTTGATTTTGATTGATTTTTCGGAAATAAACCACTCAACAATAGGTTTGTTCCAAGCATAAATTTCACCAATTTTTGGAACGCGACAACTTGTTTATAAATTAACGGAAAAATATGCCGTTTTCACCTTTTTTTGAAAGCGATTCCTTCTTAATCATCTGCTTTACACAAAAAAATATAGAATTTGAGTACTTTTTTTATACAGGGTGATTTAGGAAGTGCCGTAAAAATTCGAAATTTTTGTTGCCCCCTATTTCTACAATTATTTTTATTTATTTTTTCTAGGCATACCCAAATGACTATTATTTATATGTTCATCCCTCGAACCGTTTTTGAATTTTTTCGTATATCATTATTTGTTTATTAAATAATGCAAATTTAGTGTTATATTGACACCTAGAGCTTCAAACCCATCGCGGATAAGTTTAGACAGTATCTTAGGATCCGCTAGTTTAAATTTATTTGCTATGATCACAATTTAAACTAACTGACGTAAAAAATCTTTATACAAAACATGTGCGAGGATACTTTAAACTTGAAATTTCTAGTTATGTATAATTTTGCCAGTTTCTACAGAAAAGAAAGTATCAAGGACGGAAAAAAAAAATTGAGTTACTTTCAAGGCTTTATATCACTTTTGCAATGTAATTCCAAAAAACAATTTCGAGGTTTTTTTTGTCATCCATTTTTTCCGTAAGTTACGTCATAATTTGTAAACCTATGAAACAATTATTGTTTCCTCAATTTCTTGATATTTGCTGCCATCAAAAGGTCCTAAAAGAATAAATATTTTTACTTGCTAACATTTTGGATGAATTTTTACTTGTATACAGGGTGTCCCCGAATCAATCACCCAGTGAATTTGTAGTCTGCTTTGAATTTCGCAATTCAATAAAGGTGTGTATTTAATTTGTTTACTTTGTAAAACCGATCATACAGTAAGTGGCATCATCTAAAAAGCATATGATTTGGGGACACCCTATACACAAGTAAATAAAAATACGTCCGAAATGTTAGCAAGCAGAAATAATAATTCTTTTAGGGCCTGTTGATGGCAGCAAATATCAAGAAATTGAGGAAGCAATTGTTTCATAGGTTTACAAATTATGCAGTTACTTTCTGAAAAAATGGATGACAAAAAAATCCTCGAAATTGTTTTTTGGAATTACATTGCAAAAGTGATATAAAGCCTTCAAAGTTAGTCAAAATTTGTTTTCCGCCCCTGACACTTTCTTTTTTGTAGAAAATTGCAAAATTATACAAAACTTGAAATTTCAAGTTTGAAGTATCCTTGCACACCCTGTATGTTTTGTATAAAGCTTTTTCACGTCAGTTAATTTCTATTGTGATTATAGCAAGTAAATTTAAACTATCGGAACCTAAAATACTGCTTAAACTTGTTCACGATGGGTTTGAAGGTCTGGGTGTCATTATAACACTAAATTTGCATTATTTTATAAACAAAAAAAGATATAAGAAAAAAAAATCCCAAAACGGTTCGAGGGATGAAGATAATAATCATTCGGGTATACCTAGGAAAAATAAATAAAAATAATTGTAGAAATGGGGTGGCAACAAAAATTTTGAATTTTTACCGCACTTCCTGTATCATCCCGTATAAAAGAAAACACTCGAATTCTATGTTTTTTTTTGTAAAACAGATGATTAACAAGGAATCGCTTTCAAAAATGGTGAAAACGGCATATTTTCCCGTTAATTTATAAAAGAGTTGTCACGTCTCAAAAATTGGTGAAATTTATGCTTGGAACGAACCTATTGTTGAGTGTTTACTAGATTTGCATTGATTTTTCAATATTTTATTTATTTTAACGGATTTCATGTGATTTTGCTTAATTTTACAGATTTCTAAAGTCTGTTTTTTTTTTAAAGATAATTCCCCAAGTCAAAAATTTAGTAACTATGTTGGCAACACAAGCCTTTTCTACATAAAAAATTTGAAACCATTGACAATTTTACATTGTGTTGCCAACATAATATCATTTTGACTTTTATCTTTAAAAAAAAAAACAGATTTTATTGATTTATGTGAGTTTGAACCTTTGAACAAAGTGTACACCTGATTTCGGGAGTGTCACACCATTCGAGAAATAATAAAATCAAGCAAAGATGCAGGATTTGAAAAATAAAACACTACAAAAAATCTAAATCACATTTATTTACACTAAAATAAATATAAATAATAAATAATCAAAAAACAATTTTCTTCCTTCGGGAAGCCTCTACAACTTTTATAAACAATGACCACGTTACACCAATTTTAATTTTGAAAAACAAACAAGCATTAAAAATTATTGTGTTTTTTAATACTTTCATAATCAAATCATTTCCTAGAATGTTTTCTTGAGGATAATCTGCTTTTGTGAGATCTTCCACTTCTGAAACGGCTTCTGCTCTCTTCTGAGGATAAACTTGATTCCCTTCTATTCTTTTTAAAATATTTTTCCTTTTGGGATTGTTTTGATATTTTTTTTTCTCTTATCTCTGTAATTTCTATCATCTTTCTTGTTTTTTTCCGCTTCTGAGGAACTTTCTGAGCTTTCAGAAAAATGCCTTTCATTTATTTTAGACTTTTTTCCCTTATGTGTCTTCTTGCTATTATATTCAGATTCATCTGTATAATCGTCATCAGAAGATACCTCCTTGTGATGCTTGCTTTTTTTCTTCTCCTTTGACCTATTATATTTTTTCTTTCTTCCAGTCCTTTCTTCCTGTATATCCTCACTTTCATTATCAGCACTCTTGTCTGGAGTAGGAGTTCTTACCAACTGGTACCTGGCAGCATCCTGATTCTCCTTTTCTCTTTCCAATGCTCGTTGTTTTTCGCTTTCTGCCAAAACTTGATCGGCGGCTAACTGTTCTTTAGCCTGTCGGTCTGCATCAAAACTGCTACCTTCCATAAAGTACTCCGAGATACCAAAAGCTTCACGAAGGCGGGCATTTTTTTCTTGTTGGGCTTCAGCTACCTGGTGCGTTTCAACAACATTTGTTTTACCCCACTCGTTAACTGGTTTCTCTGGCTTGGAACCCGATTTCAGCAGCATCTTTCGGTAGTTATTGACTTTGTCGTTTACGGATTCTTCACTGAATCCTTGATCTTCCAACAGTTCAGCAAACTCGGCGCACTTAAGCTCAATCTTTCTCTTCCTTTCATGATCCAAAATATCCTTATTTGGTTGTTTTATACTTGGTTGATCCAATCTTGACAATTCTTCAGTGCTGTAAGCTTTTGTTTTTTCTATAGGTCTTATAGAAGCACAGTTTCTTTGGACGTGGCCATTGGTTCCTGAGCCTCTTGGAGTGTGTAGTCCTATTCCGTTATACATGCTAAATTGACACACGCCCCAACTGATTTTGATTTGAAAGTAATTATTATGATATTTGTAAGAATTTTGTTACTGCCCTATGCACTACTGGCACTGCGCTTGTGTAGTATTTGTTTTTTTTTTCTTATAATCATAGAATATAAGGTCTTCTTTGGTTGTTTGTTGATAGATAGTTGAAGATCAAAACAAAACTGGAAAGAAAACACTGTTGAAATTGTTGACAAGTTAATATTGAGTTGACATTGACATTGTTGACATTACATCAACATCAACGTCTAAAGAGCCTATGGCCACGCGGATACAAACTACTAATGGCGATTTCCATTTGTCAGTCAGTGCGCGCTGAGTGTATCCGCATCTTTTTCTAAAAGCATGTAACATTTTAGGATAAGGATACATTTTTTTTTGCACTGGTTCGACAAATGGAAATCGCTGTTAAAGTTGTATTCCTTTCATAGTTTGAGACCCTCGAGCTACTCGCTCCGGTGCTAAGTTATCCGATTCGCCAAAGTGCGTCCAGAGTAGTCAGAGTGCACAGAGTCAGTGAGCAAGCGAAACCTAGCATACAATTGTAACCCAGCTATGGCAACAACCACTTGATGTGAAGATTTTCTTTCTTTTCTAGTTTAGTAGATATTATTATAAAAATTATTATGTTTCAGAAACTCATGACCAGAAAATTGTTCTAAATATAGTTTTAGCTTGACAAGATTTAAAATCGATGAAAAAACTATTTCAGAAGCACAGCCTGAATCGCAAGTATCCCATCGAGGTCTGCGACTGAGGTCAGTACTATAAGCATGCTGATAGTGTTACGTCACTCGCAGACCTTGCCGACTCGAGATGTGGCAAACGTACGCCTCAAGGCCGGGACACACTTGTCATACACTCCTCCGATCCGACGTTGCCCCAAGACTCGTATCGGTGCGAAATCGGAACGGGGTGACCACATGTCATACTCGTTTCCAGCTCGGACTTGTTTATTTATTTATTTCCACTTCCAACGGGCAGCGGCCCAATTTTACAAATATTGCCATAATATTAATACTAATAACAAACCACATATAAATAAAAATTTTAAAAAGTGTACAATAAATTATTTCTAAATTAAAAAATTGAAAGGACAACAAAAAACAGCCAAAAACAGATCACAGAGTAAATCACTAGATTACAAAACAATATCACAGTGATAGCTTCATTTGGTGCAAAGACGCAGCAAATATGTCCACCTGGTATCTCATTGGCATAAGACATAGCCCGATTAATGGTTGTGTGTTGGCCATAAGAGGTACGATTTGTCTCCAACGAAAAACAGCGCACAGCTCTAAAATTCCTCACTGGGACATTCAAGTTTACAGCCGAGAACAACTCAGGGCAATTCAGATAACCTCTGAGCAACTTAAAAATCAATAACTGATCAAATTTTCTACGCCTATGCTCCAATGTTTCCAATGACAAATTCTGCAAAAGCTGACCATGATCAATAAAATCTGAAGGTATTCCCATTTTGTACCCTATGTACCTATCTCAAGAATTTTCTCTGTACACGTTCAGCTAATTCAACATAAATTTTATCATGTGGTGACTACACACAGCTATTATTTTCAAGATGGGAACGAACCAATGACACATAGGTACAAACACTTGAGAGCAGAAACATTCTTAAAGTCTCTTGTGTGTCTTTTGATAAAACCCAACATTTTCAATGCTTTATTACAACATGCATAAATGTGTTCAGAAAATGACAATTTTGCATCAAATACAACTCCTAGGTCACGAATACTAGAAACATTTTCAATAACTATCATTTATGTAATAGTCATTTAGTTTGGGAGAATACATTCGTCACTCACCATTCTGATTCAAAGAAAATCGCAAATGGTTCTGTGTGCAAAATGTTCAAAAATATTAGCACTGCAATTCAGTCAATGGTGGCTCTTAGTTTGGAAGTCATAGCTCCTTTTTTCCAATTTTAACTAGTACTCTTAACCGCGAAATTCGTACTTTTTTGACATTGCGTTGACAATTTGACGTTTTATGCGTGAATCAAACGTCAAATTGTCGAAGCAATGTCAAAAAAAGCGAATTTCGCAGTTATGAGTACTAGGCTTTATACGGGTTCGCGATAAGCTTTTTCGAACTTCAACGAATTATAGGTGTTTTCTCTCTCTTAAATTGGTTAAACCAAGTTGAACCCTGTTGAACCTATTTCAAAATATTACATTTTCGCGTTGAACTAATGACGTCATAACAAAACTGAAAATATTTTGAAACGAGCTTTAGCATCGGTTCAAAAACAAACGCATGCGCAATAGTTTAGGAAAGTTGACAGTTTGTTGCACGTTTGTTGTTTTATATCTATACTTGTTTTGTGTGTTTTGTAGGAGGTTATGGTATCATGAACAGAACACTCTTACATTTTTTGAAAAATAGAAAATAGGCTGTGGCTATTTAGCAGAAAAATATTGTCAAACATGAACGTAATTACTCTATTTGCCATATTTGGAGTACTCTGAGTAAGTAAATCGTTCAAAGATTTTATTTTTTTGGCTCCTTTAAAGTAAATAGAGTAAGTTTATGTACGTTCGAGTATTGAAAAGTAGGAAGAGTAGACTCGGCTCGATTTCCAATCAGAAGCATTTCAGAGTTGATCAAGAACACTAAAGATTACTCGATTGTAAGTGAACTAATTCAAATTTTTATCCAACAGCGAACGAGTTCGGAATTATTCACCAATCGTTTATTTAAAAAGTGTACTCGGTGCAGGCTTATTCGCGTTCGTTTATTAAAATTTCGGGCATTCTGATACAGCGTTTAAGTGCTCTGTTCGCTCGCTGGTCACTTGATTACGGCTCCGCTCAGCACGCTCTGCTCTTTGAACAAAATACCGAACGCAAGGAAATTAAAGATTGCTCGATTGTGCACCAGTTCAAGACTTCAAAATCTATCCGGAACCGGTTCTAATAATTGAATTACGAACAATCAATTTGTTCAGATTAGTTTATTTCGATTTCGGAACAGTAATTGAAGCAGTCGAAACTCTAAAACTCAATTCTGAAACTGGTTCTGAATGAATTGTTAATGCGATCCAGGGCTAGGATCACAACAAGTAGAATTCAACTTTCATGACGTCAAATTGCCTAGCATCCGCCATCATCGCCTGTACTGTACTGTACGCAATAAATAGATCGCGGATGACGTCATGAAAGTAGAATTCTACTTGTCGTGATCCCAGCCCAGGACACTAATTTAGGATACTCGTGCACCGTATGCGTCTAATAATAATTTAGTTTATAATTTTTTTCTAGTTCGGAATAATAATTGATAAATTCGGAACTCAAAAATCACAGTTTAGAAATATGATCTGGAACCAACAAATTTCTTTTATTCTTCGAGTTACTCTAAATGTTCCAATTGCTTTAATTTCTGTTTCATCTGTACTAAGGGTGGGTATTATAAAACTGCTTTGACAGTTAACTTGAAGTTAACTTTTTGAATTACATGTAATTCCAGAAGTTAACTTTAAGTTAACTCTCAAAGTAGTTTTATAATACCCGCCCTAATTCTGTTCTGTTTGCATTGCTCTGATTGTTACTGTTTGAACTACTCCATTATGCTACTAATCAATGGAATTATTTACTATAACAATAGACTGATTTGAAAATTTATTTTGATCGTTCTAGAACCTGTAGGATTTTTTGATCGTGAACTAATTCGGAACAGGGCCGAGATCACGACAAGTAGAATTCTACGAGAATACTACTGTCATGACGTCAGGTTGCCTAGCAACCGTCATCATCGTATGTACTGTATGCGATAAATAGGTCGCAGGTGATGTCATTAAAGTAGAATTCTATTTGTCGTGATCCCAACCCAGGTCTTTAGAACACAAAGAAATGATTTGTGACTGATTCTAGTTGAACTTTATATGTTTATTATTTTCAACACTTTGTGAATAGTTGTATTCCTTTCAAGAGTTTGAAACACTCGAGCTACTCGCTCCGGTGTTTAGTCGCCCCTGATTTGCAGGAAACAGATGCGTGGTGCAACAAACACTTTTCGAAAGGAATAAGCGCGTGAATCCCCAGAGCTGTTCTGGAGCTCCTCCTAGGTGTGAAAGGAATACAACTAAAGATACAAAAACCCTTTTCACGTGGCTCCGGTTTAACAAACCGCAACATACCGCTCAAATTCGAGTGGTAGGTATCCATCACGCCATTTTGTAACCGGGCTAGAAAACGGAATGTCATTTCTCTAACCGTTTTGTAATCTGGTTAGTTAAACCGGAGCCACGTGAAAAGAACTAAAGTGTCCACACTTCTTACACTATTGACACTGTGGCGTTCGTTAATTGATTTACACTTTGGTGCGTTCGGCTTTGCACTCCACGGAGCGGAACGGTATGAGCATGGATATCGTGATGTCATTCGCGGTTCTAAGCCCAATGCAAAAGAGAACACTCTGAGAGCTTAAACGAACAGAATTTTACCGTTTCGAGCGCATTCAGAGTTTACAAGGTGTAAAGCCGAACTTAGGACCCGGATCCCGAACTCCCGATTCGATAGTATCGTCCATATACATTACATAAACGATACTATTGAATCGTGGGTCGGGATCGGGCATAGCATTTATTTGCGTTTGGGAATAACTTAGTGCCCAAATCTTAGAGCAGGAAAGCGCTGTCCTACGGACATAAGGAGTAGGAACGCGCCATTCTGCTTATGAAACTAAAGTGAAGCCAAGTTTTTGGCAGGTGTTTGGCACCAAGATACAGGTAAAGCATTGAATTGCCATAAGCGCCATTGGTCGCGTTCACCAGATACAAACGTTGGTAAACGGTTTGCGATTGTTCTGCTGAACATTAAGTAGAATCACCGGCGTATACAAGGGGGGGGGGGTAATGGGGGTAATTACCCCCCCCAAGATCGTTGCGATGGAAGAAAAAAATTTACCCTACACCACACAAATAAATCTATTTTTTATATTTTTACTATTCAGCAACCGGCCCTAACTTGTTTTCTAGTTTGCACAGTGTCCTCACTGCCCGCATGCCATTTATAGTGAATTCTATTCAAAGGAATAGTGCACACTGAGTGTATTCGTATCTTTCTCTACTAGCTTGTATAGGAAAGAGATAAATACATTTTTTGTAATAATTCTTCCAATAGAATTCGCTATAATTAAAAAGTTTTAGGGGAATCTCATAGCAAATTCCATTGGTAAAATC